ATTTACAAATTTATAAACGTTTTAAAACCTTGGCAGGCGATACTCATTACCCATTTTCTCAAATCGATTAACGATTTTCTCATGGAAACCGCATCTTTGTTAAGTTAACCCCCTACGCGGAAAACAAATAATGAGTGCATTATATCAAGTTCAGCGGCACCGTAGGCGTGAAATTCGCCGAAAGTGAAACTTACAAGATCCTTAATGATACATTTTGCTGCAGATTCGGTCCTTTGTAATGGTAAAAGTGCCGGTTCAGTCGAAAACACACAAAAGGCAGAAATTGATAGCCATTTTGCGATTAAATGATGCTGAAATCGGTAGGTTAAGCGGGCAAAATCATCGTCATTCTTTTTACAAGGATTTAATGGAATTAGAAACTAAGAAACTAAATATTGCATTAGTAAATAAGAAAATCAATTCTCTAGGAACGTGCAAAAAATACTGCAGTAGCAAAAACACAACCCTTGGAGGTACCTCGACATGATATATGAGTGTGGAATTTGATGTTTTGTTAATTTGAAGTATTAGCGTGAAAAATGTGTGTGTAGATTCTTTTAATTTCGACTAGTACTTCCCCAAGTCCCAAGTTGGGAGTTTCTATTCTTATACGAGGTGTGTTCAAAAAGTAAGATGACTTTTGTAATTGGACGGGCTACGTACATTCGATCTTAGGTATTCTATGTTGGTACACATGTGCCTAATATACGGTCACAGTTTCAGCCAGTTTGTACGTTTACTTTTTCTTTGTGATACAGAAGTGTTAGACGTGTTTTGTGTGCTCGGCGATTTTCTGCTGTAAAAAAATGGGTCAAAGCATTTGCATAAAATTTTGTGTAAAAAATAGAATACAATGCTGCAAAACACTAATGAAAGCGTTAAAGAAGTGAGACAAATGGCACCATGCAATTTTTTCCGAAGTTTTGGCCATGAAACCTGTAGCAGCAAAATTTGTTCCGAAATTGCTTAATTTTGAACAAAAGAACCGTCGAAGTCATCCCAATGGAAGAATTATGCCTCAGCCGCCATATTCACCGAATGTGGCCCCCTGTGACTTTTTCCTGTTCCCAAAACTCAAGGAACCCATGAAAAGAAGCAGATTTGGAATGATTGAGGAGATAAAGAAAAAATCGCTGGAAGAACTGAAGGCTCTAGCAGAAAGTGTTTACCTGAAGTGCTTCAAATATTGAAAAAAAGTGTATTATATCTGGGAGGGATTACTTTGAAGGGGACAACATTAATTTTGATGAATAAATAAACATATTTTGATAAAACTTAAAAGTCACATTTGTTTTTGAACACAACTACACTTTTATTTCTAGTCGGACAGATTACAAATAATTTCCCTGAGAATAGGAAATAGGTAAAGAAACCCAAGAAAACTGAGTCAACGTTAAATTAACTGAAATATGAACAGCCAAAGTAATTCAAAGTAAGAACTAAAAGGGGTGATGCATCTATATTTATCAGCAAAACTATCTTTCTGAATTTGTGCTATCTTTTATTGGGCATGCCCATTCTACAGCTCCTTATATTAGAAAACCTTTTTCTTTTTTGGCCGTAATTTATTTATTTCGGATCTGATTTTAAGGAAAAGTTGTTATAACAGCAGCTAATAAAACCTCATCGCGGTTATATTCAAATCACGTGCTAGGCTTATGTTGATACTTGTTTCATGTCTAGCTAATTTTTACGACTTTAATGAGAGTGAGTGGTCCCTTTTAGAGAGTGTGTTCTCAGATCGCCTCCCAGTGGACGTTTTAGTTTTGGTTAGTTTTAGTAAGGCAATGAAATTATTAACAGATTTTGCTTATAATTAGTTACTATTGAAGTTTTTATTGTTTAAAATCAAATAATTCAACACACACAAAAATCTTAGTGCATTTTATTAAAATAAAATTAGTGAAAAATATAATACCGTAGACTAAAAGCAGATCAACGAAACAACGCAGTTGCTTCGCTGAGAGTTCTTAACTAACTGGCTACAAACGGTCCTAAAAAGGGCATCGTAGACCCATGTGACCTATATTATTCAGAATAATAAGCCAATAAGCCAAAAAAGCACCAAAAGCAAAGCATATATGTTAAACGACCAATTACAATATCTTCATAAATCTCACCACTAATAATGCTTTTTTTGTGCAGATGAAATAAATTTCTATTTTATTTCTAGCAATGACAAACGCTCCGGATCTAGTACATTATTTTTACAGTGTTAATGTAGTTACCAGAATTTGTGCTGTTGTATGAGGTAGACGCATGGGCACAGTCGGTAAGAGATATAAATAAAACTGAAACCTGTGGGATAATATCTAATGGCATTAGATAGCATTAGATAGTATAGAAGCAAATATGGTTCAAATTGCCACACCTGAGGCGGTTATAACATTTTTACCGAGGCTGGAATGATCTGCCAAAAATACTACTGTAATTGTACACTTTTCGAAAATTTTTAACAGCACACTTAACCAGTATTTTATTGAGATTACATACTTCTCTTCATTAGTGGATTTTTGTAATCATTATTATTTAAAATATATTTTTTTAAGTGTTATTAAATATAGTTTCAGCAAACATAAAATTTCACAAAGAAGGTTGAATTGGAACTGGAATTTGGTAAATTGATTTGATTTTGCATAATTTGCTGAATGATAATAATAATAAGGAAATTATTTTCACTTCAACTTTTATTAATAACTCTTTGCTCGATTTTTTGAAATAATGGTACTTTACTCTTACGCAATTGATGATGATGGAACTTTTGGCAATATTAGTATTTTTATTGTACAGTTAAAAAAATTCCATATGTTTCACACTAAAATGGCCACACTGTATATTCAACTTACCTGTAGAAATAAATCACAGAAATGAATGAATGAGCAATGGTTAGTTTTGGTTACTTTTAGTTCCAATTTTTATATTCTTTTTATTTTTCTACACTCTGCTGAAAAATTTGCATATGTTTATATGAACATGTGGGTCAGTAAAAGGATATACAGGACACTTTTCTTAAAATTTTGTTGTTGCCCAGAAAGTTCTCGGAACGCTGTATGAGTATGCAGCGACTGTGAAAGTTTATCGCAAGCGGGTAATAGTGCAACCACCGTTTTCTCTCTCAGCTTTCAGGAAAATTATTAAACCAACTTCGACGTCGCCTTCCTCGCGGCCGAGTAATTAACAGTAGCTGACTATCCGTCTTTGCGTGCCTGCGGTCCCTTGAAAGCTAATTAAATATTTGTTAAATGGATCACTTTATCAAAGACGGCGAGCGAGGCTCTTTTGTCTAGTCCTTTTCCATTAAGTCCCTGCATTTACAACGTGTAAGATAAAATTTTTCAAAGGGCCAAAAAAGCAAATATTGCAACTTGGAGTCATTAAAAAGGGCGTTTCCTACAGTATCAATCGTGTTGTGATTAAATCCAATGGTATGACTTGTTCTATATCATTAGATAGTCAAATAAAGGTCCAATACCCAGAGTAGAACCTTTATTCTAACCTAAAATATGAATAAAAAGTACTTGACGCTGAATGCTAATGTCTTTTCTTCTTGGCTTAATTTGATGCAGCTCTGGCTGTTGATTGGAACAATTTAGCAATACTTGACGGCACTCGAGATTTTAATTCTGGAAAATGCTCTCCGTTGGTCTTGACCTAAGTCCTACTAGTCCCGATCACAGTGGAGTGCGACACCAGAGATACATACGAGTTTTTTCTGGCCATATACCTAGTGAGATTGTCACCGAAATACGAGGAGAATAGAACAGTGGCAATTAATTCAGTGAAAACTAATTTCAATTTGCTCGACATAAAAATTCACGAATTATCAAAAACTAAAGAGAAAAATAAAACAAAAACAATTCCGTTTGGACGGAACACATATCGTTCAATTTTTTTTTTTGCGAATATGTCAGAGAATGTGAGTGTTTTAAAATAGAAGATACAATTACGGCCCCCCTTGACCACTTCAACAAAATTTCTAGCATTTGGCTGATTTACTAAATCTTTTTCTTTTTTCAAATTGGTAGGACCGTATTTTGCCATGTTTCTACTATACATATATGTCGTTTGAGTTGCCTAGATGTCATATGAAATCTCAATTTCTCAAATCATCTCAAAAATCTCAATAATCTGTCAAAACACACCCACATTTGCGAAAAGTAATGTCCTAGAAGTAGGTCGACAAGCCTCCCTACCGCAAAATTAAATAGTCAAATTTCCCTTTAAATTTCCTATTCATTTTGCTAAGATTACGAAAAAAGAATTAATTTAAATAGCAATTAAAATTTGGAATCTCGGAACTTTAAGATGTTTAATATTTATTCTGTTTTTGTTATTTTGTTTTTTTTTATATAACAGTTATACAGGGTAGTTTATCGGGAACTTTGCCGATATGGGAAAACTATAATAAATAAATATTTTAAAATATTTTTAATATGCCAGATGGAACAGCCAGTAATATAAAGTAATATAATTGTATAATTGCATAAGGTGAATATAATAGCATTTTTGACTTTCTCGGAAAATTCTAAACTTTCTTTTGTAAGATGTAAATTTTAAATCAAAAATTAATTTTGGCAGGCCTCAAGCCCTCAAAATTTCAATTGTTTAACTTTTTTTTCATTATAAATTTATATGTGTTTATAATGTAATCTGTCCATAGTTCTCACACAGGCATATAAATAAAGAAATAGATTTTTTATGGTTTTAACTTACCAATAGAAATTTTCCCTCAAAATGAAAAATCGTTTAATTATTTCAAATTAAATTTTTGCAAAAGTATTACGCAATAAAATAGTTTCTTGTTGAAAGCAGTAAATTATAAGGTTTCGGTTTTCTGCTCCAGGTATCACACGAAACCAAATAGAAAATAATTAGATGAAATTTATATCGTTCTTCAGGGATACTTTGTCGTGCTGACGTCAACGGGCCTCGGCGTCTTTTTCGAAACATTCTATTATCCCAAGTTAATTAAATATTTGCTATAAGGATTGCCAACTTACCGCCGAGGATGCCGTCTATTGTGTAATCTTTCTTGCTGTCCGCGTCTTGCTCTCTCCTACTCCCTCCCCGAAGTAATCTGCTTATCGATGAAATGCTGGGCGGATCTACGATGCCTTCCTATGGACAAAGCGCATGAAAATAGTTTGCAGACATCGTTAACTAATTTGCTACAAATTTTTGGTACAAGTTGTAAAAGATCCCCCATAATACTTAAATAGCTAACAAAATTCGTTAGTCAATTTTAATCCAGTTACATTATCAAAATGTAAAGGAAAGCAACAACAGAACGATGTGACGTAGATTCTCTCTCTCTCCCTCTCTGTCTCCCTCCCTAACTATCCCCCCCCCTCTCTGTGTGCCTATTAACCCCCTACCCTACTCTCTAAGATCAGAATATCCCAAGTTAAAAGTCAAGAACCAGAAAATAACATAACATCACAAAATTAAACTCTAAGTTGTCAATAATTGTTTTCAATTTTTTGTTTTTACTGCCAGCTCTCGGACTATAACAGCTTATTTTAGGACAATGTCACTATTTATTTATAAAAATTATTAGCGAGCTACAGTAAACAAATTAGCTTGTTGCTCATCACTTTTTATAAACAATACTTAAATGATACTTTGAGGGGGTAGACACTTTATACCATAGCTATTTTTTTGTAGGACAAATGTAATGTCAAATTATGTATTTAAATATCTCAAGATTTAGCTAGAAATGAAACTGGTGCTGATCATTTTTGCATGGTCACTAAATTGACATGATTTGATGATGCTTGCGCATTTTGTTGGAAACTTGATATAGCAATTTTCGTAAAGAAAAAAGTTGGGCGTCTTTGTAAAATGAAGCTACTCTCAAAGGAAAAGCTTGTTGCACATCATGTTGAAAAAAAGTCCAGGGCTCCCTTTGTCGAAAAGTAATTGTCATAAAGAATTATTTCATGAATTTTAAATTCAGGTTATTGCAAAATAGTCTTATATTACTGATAATTAAAATCGTTTCCTTCCTTCTTGTAGTTTTTGCTCTACCTCTTAAGGGAAAGTGGTGGGGGTGTTCGAACATTTTCGGAAATAAATGTCAATAACTTTAGAATGGTTAGACGCTGCTCGAGGACTGTGCGACATCATTAGAAATAAAATTTGTTTTCTCAAAAAATTAAATGCAATAATGTCGCTTTTATTACGGCCAAAGATAGACAAGGATCTAACAAGCTAGTGACAACCGCATTTCGCATCTTTGGGATTATTGCTACTCGATAAAATCCATGGATTTTGCAACGAAATCAAAGCCAAACAGTGGAAGTGGCTTAAGTATCGGTTGAGTAGCTCTGTACTCCCTTCTGTAAAACCTAATTAGGTTTTATTACTCGACACCTTCCTGAAATACAAATTTTGGTATGGCGGAAGTGAAAAACTATTTCTTCCGCTTTTCCGACGACTGGAAAATTAGAAAGAAGTCGAGACGACGCGAGACAAGTTTATTAAGAGAAGTTGTAGGGTACAAGGAAAAAACAATACGTAATAAACGCGACAGTAATTCGCCCGCGGACGTGTCGTATTATCGCGCGTCATCGCGTCCAGTAGATCACTATCTGGTCGTCTCGGTGGCCTACGGGCGACATTTCCCGGACGCCGTCACAGGTGTAGGGCGGCGGGGCACGAGCTAATTTGAGGGCGGCACACGACGGCCGCCCCGGGCTCACGTCGGCACCTTTCATCGCGTGCCGCCCGAACATTTTTCGTTGCCGCCGCGCGGACTGCAGCAGAGGCGAAAAACCCGCGCCATGATGTACGCAGGAATGATTACCGCGTGATCGCTGGCTTGTCTGGGAATACTACAAATTTACAATTTTAATGGGAATCGCGACTATATTTCAATTCTGGTGACAAAGCAACCCCCTCAGATATTTACCCAAGTTTGACTCTTAGGAGTTGTAAATTACGTCAGACATTATGAGAGGGACATCGTGCAATGCGGGGAATAGGGAAGCATGTAATATCTAGATATTATAAAGGCCCTCCCTATGGCTTATAAACAGGCACTTTTGAAGCCGAAATCATTTCACCCTCAGAGCTGAAAATAAAGTCCCTCTCCAACTTAGGTGGAGACGAATATTTAAAATGAAAATTCAGAAATCTTCTTTGTAATTCTATTATAAATATATTACAAAATATAAAATAATTTTATTCGAAAAGCCCAGTAAGTATACAATGGATGTTTGGTCAGGACAAAAAATACATTGTAGAATCTTATAAAGATACATGAAATTATGTGTATAAACAGTAGCTACGGTATGTATAGGATAGTTAACAAACGAATATATTTTTGAGTGACAATTTAGTCCGTCTCAATCTTCAGCGTGCTGGCTTTTGCCCGCAAATATGGAAATTACCTGCCGACGGCAATAAAACTCGGATCAGGTAGGTATTAAAGAACAAAACATTAGGGACCGACCCTCAAAAGTTTTGGTAACAATAAAAATATTTTTTGTTTATTTAGGTTGGTATGATCTTATTAAATTACATTAAGAAAAAACAATGAGATTAAATAAATACAATAAATTGATAGCTCGGGCTATCTATAAAATATCTAAATCAATTTCTGTTTTACTATCAGAGTCGGCATTAAGGTTAATTATAATAGGACTTATGTTGTTTCCTATGAAAAGGTAGGAGTCCACAATTTTTATAATACGCTGTACTTGATTTTTCCAGCTCTCAATGTTATTAATTACATTTTCTTATCAAATTTATAATATTGGGACTTGTAGGAGCAACATTTTCTGCTCTGTCCTTTGATTTTACTTGTTTCCGCAAGAGTAAATACCCCATGGGGTTAAACATACAATGATATGCCCAGACTGTTCAACTACTTACAAATCTTCTGGATTCCTCCTGCGTTGGTTGTTGTTGAGTCGAACTTGCTAACGTTTCGCCAATCATCCAGAGTTACAGTAGCCTGTGAAGCTTTGTTTGAAAAATTATCACATACATACTGCTTTTAATTGCATACTTCCAAAAGTCTTTTTTGTAACTGAATTTAAAATAAATATCATTTTCTAACAAATATTCCTGGGTTTCACTTTTTGAACTTGATGAGGCTGCTTTGCGTAGCAGACTTCTGCGGTAGCTTGCGTTATCCACTGTCATTGAGAATAAGAGATTGTTTTGAAACCAATTTTCAAAAAGTTTGGCACTTGTATCCTCATGATATAGCAAGCTGAAATCCTTAACATTCTTTGCAGACAACAGTGCGCAGTTTGGGAAAAATCCGTATTCTGCCCAGCAGGTATTATAGTGATGCGTTTTCCTTTATTACTTGAAGGTGCTTTCGTCTGAGAGTTTGAAGTGGAATCAACTCATCCTTTGGATACGGTATCGTGTTGTATCGAACCAAGTTTCATCAAAAGAAATTATGGATCTGTTGTCTAATGTTACTTTCTTGAAGGTGATCAAATCTCCAAGTGCGTAATCTGTGTGATTCCATTTTGCGGTACGTAAATCTCATGTTACAAACAACTCTATAGAGGTTGGTACCGCTTATATTAGTATTGGTTCCATCTTCTTCTAGCTTGTTTTTCAGTTTATCGAAGGTAGAAACAACTTCGCTTTGATAAAGACAATATTTTTTCCATGTTATTAGGTCCTGATCATTATTGTTTATACGATGAGTTTGAAAACCACCACGTTTATTCCTTTTGTTTAACTCTCCACTATTAATAATATTAACATTAAAGTTTGCTCTTTAAAAGTCCTCTACTGATTAAAATTTCATACTCATTTTTTACAACCTGTTTTGCATCAAGCGACAAATGATTTCGACGCCACATTGTTATATTCTCGTAAAAAAACTTTTTCGAAATGCACACTAAAAACGATTATTTAACACTGACACAAATGGTCAACACTCAAGAAATATATCAGAAAGAAAGAAATATACCTGACCCACCCTGCCTTGTCACTCCAGTGTGAATACATATTTTGTTAAAGGCTTTACCCAATATCAATCAGTAATAACATCGTTAAAGATTTATTGAGGAGCGTCCGTCGAAAGTGAACACGATGAATATTGAGACAGACTATACAAACATATTGACAAAATGTTCAAAATATACCACTATGCTTTTTACAAAACTTCTGGATTCCTCCTGCGTCGGTTTTTGCTGCGTCGAAATTACTGACGTTTCGCCAATCATCCTGTTGGCTTCATCAGAGCCTGACTGAAACTGTTTCAGTCAAGCTCTGAAGAAGCCAACGGGATGATTGGCGATAGTGTTTAACTGTACTGATTTCAATAGCAGGTAACAGCTTTTTGGTATACCTAAAAAACTTCGTGGTGGAAATTTTAATTACAATTAGGTTTTTTGTTTCATATTTGCCGGGTGCTCACCTGGAAAGTAACTCATAATCCAATTTTAGCATACTATCAAAGGTTATTAATATATACCCGTCCTTCCAAACCAATCAGATGCAGTTATATAGTTAAGTTTCAATAACCAAATAATGATTCCGGTAAAAAGGAATATTAATATATAATTATAGTGCAGGAGGTATAAATTATTGACGCACATACAGCGTGTTCTAAGAAAGGGAAACATCACTAAGCACAGCTAAATAGATTCCCAGCAATATTACAAGGCGAGTTTCACAATTAAATATCAATTTCGAATTTTCAACGTCCAGAACGAGGCAATAGGGTGAATAATATGAATAATATTAGTAGGATCAACTGCAAGATGCAAGAATTTTTCTGGAAAATAAGCTAGCATCTGTGGGATTCCATATTCTTGATCAATTGGGTTGTATGGGATATACCGGATATGTGAAGAAAGAAAAGATGACTAGAGAAATACTTTTTACCAACATCGCACAGACTCTGTACGAAAATATTATGTTACTCAAAAAAGATTAAATAATGTCGGAAAAACTTGAGAAAAAACGATATTTTGTGATATCGAAAACAATACATTTGTTTTAAAAAATTTGGGCTACACCCGCCTATTCTCAAAAACTTATATCCATCAAATAAGTTTCATCAAAATTGTATTCCGTTCTTTAACTGTCTTCACACATACACACACACACACACACAACCCTCGGTGGGTTTTTGCCGACTCCAT